TTTTTGTTTTTCCATATGAAGTTGATTATTGTTCTTTCAAGGTCTGTGAAGAATTGTGTTGGGATTTTGATGGGGATTGCATTGAATCTATAGATTGCTTTTGGTAAGATTGCCATTTTTACTATGTTGATTCTTCCTATCCAAGAGCATGGGAGGTCTTTCCATTTTCTGGTATCCTCTTCAGTTTCTGTCTTCAAAGACTTAAAATTCTTGTCAAATAGGTCTTTCACATCCTTTGTTAGTGTTACCCCAAGATATTTTATGTTGTTTGTGGCTATCGTGAAGGTGAAGTTTCTCTGATTTCCCTCTCGTTTTCTTTATCCTTTGTGTATAAGGAAGGCAACTGATTTTTTGGAGTTGATCTTGTATCCTGCCACATCACTGAAGGTGTTTATCAGCTGTAGGAGTTCTCTGGTAGAGTTTTTGGGGTCACTGATATACACTATCATATCATCTGCAAATAACAAAAGTTTGACTTTTTCCTCCAATTTGAATCCCCTTGATCTCCTTATATTGTCTTATTGCTATTGCTAAAGCTTCAAGAAATATATTGAAGAGATATGGAGAGAGCACGCAGCCTTGTCTTGTTCCTGATTTTAGTGGAATCGCTTTTTCTCCCCATTTAATTTGATATTAGCTGTCGGCTTGCTATATATTGCCTTCATCATATTTAGATATGATCCTTGTATCACTAATCTCTCCAAGACCTTTATCATGAAGGGGTGTTGAATTTTGTCAAATGCTTTTTTAGCATCTAATGAAATGATCATATGGGTTTTTTTTTCAGTTCATTTATATGATGGATTACATTGATAGATTTTTTTTATGTTGAACCAGCCCTGCATCTCTGAGATCATGATGGATGATTTTTTTTGATGTGTACTTGAATTCGATTTGCCAATATTTTATTGAGAATTTTTGCATCCATGTTCATGAGTGAGATTGGTCTGTAATTCTATTTCATGGTTGAGTCTTTGTGCGGTTTTGGTATCAGGTTAACTGTAGCTTCATAAAGAGTTTAGCAATGAGCCTTCTGTTTCCATTATGTGGAACACTTTGAGGAGTATAGGCATTATTAGCTCTTCTTGTAAGTTTTTGTAGAACTCTGCACTAAAACCATCTGGCCCTAGGCTTTTTTTGGTTGGGAGGTTTTTGATTACAGCTTCTATCTCCTCGCGACTTATAGGTCTATTTAAATTGTTCACCTGGTCTTGATTTAATTTTGGTATATGGTATCTATCTAAAAAATTATCCATTTCTTTTACATTTTCCAATTTTG